GTGTGGATTGTGACAGCGCTACAATAAAACATTACAAACATTTTTTTGATTCGTGATTTGTGATGCGAAAGTAAGGGATTAGCCGCAGATAAAAGTATTATGGCGATTTTTCCAACTGCCAGAACTGAATATTGCTACTTACATTTTTTTCACTTTGGAGTCAATCTTGGGAATATGGAGGATATCATACTTAGACTATACAGGGTGTCCCGTTAGCACATGATCAAAAGGGTACAGCGATATTTCTTCTTCTTCTTCTCCTTCTTCTTTATCTTTGGCACAGCTCCTTCAGGGCTATTTGCCAGCACATTCGTGGTACTGCGACTTTCTTCGGATCAAAAGAATCTGCATCATCAAAATATGAGTCTTACATAAGAACAAATTCACAGCGAGTTTCACCAAAATACATCGTACCATTCTTCCGATATTTCAAAACAGATAATTTTTTTGAAGAAATTTGACCATCAATAGCAGAGGAGCCAGACATTTTTTGTTAATAAAAGTTAGGTCAGATCGTCTCCATTTGATGCAAAGAATATCGCAGTATCCTTTTGATCTTGTGCTTACGGGACACCCTGTATATTGCCTTTAATCACCAATTTTTACACTCGACATAATGTCCAGAATAACGCCAAAACTATTAAATCTCTATTCTGGAATTATAATTGTTTAATAAAAAAATTGCATTTCGGAAAAACCACTCTCTGTTTTTCATGAACTGTTTACTACAATATATATTGTATTAACAATATTCACATATTATTAATAAATTGATTTTACGGCTTTAATTTAAAAAAATGCTTGTTCTTACACAAAAATACAATAAATCCGAAAATGTATTATGAAGCCATTAGTTAACTTCTTTATCTACGATTTGTCAAATATTTTTAATCGGAAAATTTTAATTTAGTGCGAAAACGCAAAATTAAAATCCACTTTTAACAGTCTATTTTGCGTCCGAACAAATTTCGGATCGCACTCCTAAAAGCTCTTAGTTCTTATCTTTCTTAGAAGTATATCTTATCTACTCATACACATAGGTACTCAGTAGACATACCTTAGACAAGGAAAGAGAGAGACTCTCTTTCCTTGTCTAAGAGACATACCTTTAAAAAATCAATACGCTGTCAAACACAGCTGATTGTTGTCTGGAGATTTGTGATTAAAGTGGAAAATTAAATAAAATTCTGTATTTAATTTTACGGTTTTTGTATTTGTTGACACTTAACTAGAATTGAATAATTCGCTTTGTATGTGATAGATTTACATCTGACAATGATACTGGTGCAATTTGTGGCTTAATTTCAGTTCCAGTAAAATTCAAATTGAGAAATGGACCTGGCAAAATCCCTATTTGAGGGCAGGAGCCACGATGGATATGTTGGCAAAGCTGATCATAATGTAAGGAAAGCTGTCCTTAAAAAGCCCCGATAGATGTTAATTGAAATTCCAGAAAAGAGAACTGGAATTGGCTATAGAACCAGACGATGCTGATGACTCCTACGTAGACCATTTTAATGGGCTCAATATGGAAGAAGTCGTAACGCCCACACCGGGAGGGCCCTTTTCGGCTTTAATCCCGAGTATGTGGCCCCAGGAAATCATGGCTAAGCAATCTAGGGAACAAGACGACCCCAATTCACAACCAGAATACAGGCACTTAGACCTGCAATGACTCCATTCTGGAAAAAATTATCATAAAGTAATTTCAGGTTTGATGAATTCGGATTTCGAGTCGAGGAAGAAGATGGTCCAGAGCAAAATTCAAACAAGCTTCTTGGCATTCCGCTTGTTGAAGATCCTCAACATAGGTAGGCTTTGCCAACACAGCAATAAGAAGTTGGGATCTGTATACAGGGTGCCCCGTAAGCACATGATCAAAAGGATCCTGCGATATTCTTTGCATCAAAATGAGACGATCTGACCTAACTTTTATTAACAGAAAATATATGGCACCTTTACTATTGATGGTAAGTTCTTCAAAAAATTATCTTGTTTGAACTCGGGAGAATGATACGATGTATTTTGGTGAAACTCGCTGTGAATGTGTTCTTATGTAAGACTCATATTTTGATCAACCAATCGAGTTATCCGTTTTGGACAAGTGGTGAATTCTTGAGGGTCGTGGTACAAAAACTACCAGAACTTTTTATTTGGTGGATGAAATCAACTCATTTTWTTTTRGYTGATGCACTAATCATTTATTCACAATTTTGTGSTCTYTGTAAAATCTTGAAACATTYATAGTTTTTGMGAAAAAAAWTATTTCTGTTTTCTTGCCACTTAACAATGTTAGATATTAACTGCAAATATCGTGATACGAGGCATAAAATAATTGYCAATCAATCTCACAAATTCGTTTCGARTGACCTTTTCTAATGMAGAAGTGACCGACATGSTCAAAGTATTARGGTTTTGCGAAGACACGCTTTACGCACACGTTTACGCGGCGCATATTTGCAGTTAATGTCTAGCATTGTTAAGTGGCAAGACAAAGAAAACATATTTTTTGCGCAAAAWCTRTGAATRCYACAAKATTTTACAAAGARCACAARATTGTRAAYAAATGWTYAGTGCATCAACCAAMAARAAAAWTRRKTTRATTYCATCYACMAAATAAAAAGTTCTGGTAGTYTTTRTAYYACGRCACTCAAGAATTCACCACTTGTYCAAAACGGMTGAACTCGATTTTTCCATCAAAATATGAGTCTGACTAAGAACAAATTCACGGYGAGTTTCACCAAAACACATCGTACCATTCTCCCGATATTTCAAAAACGATACATTTTTTGAAGAACTTTGAYCACCAATAGCAGAGGAGCCAAACATTTTTTGTTAATAAAAGTTASGTCRSATCGTCTTCTTTTGATTCAAAGAACATCGCAGTACCCTTTTGATCATGTGCTTACGGACACCCTGYATATTTAAAAAATGGCACATAAATCTCACTTTTTCATTCATCGCTCTTAATTGTTGTTATGTTAAATGTTGATCAGCTCTGCTTTTGTTCAGGTTACAATGGGTGGCACATTTAGAATTCGCTCACAATAAAGAAGTATCTGAACTAACATGGGATAAGGTGGAAGTAAGAATACCGAGAACTGACAAGCTGTTGCAAATGGTAAGCCATACATGTAGTAAACTGCATCGACAACATGCTTGGAAAAATCTTAGGTCAGATCGGGAATTCCCCATTCACTTCGCTCGCAAATGTGGATGCGAATGTCTGGCGCATTAGAGAAGAAGCAACATTCCGAATTGTGCTACAAGGAAATACTTAGGATGTCTAGCAACGACTCTCTAATGACTTCAAAGCAAATTGAAAAGGATTTGCTTCATATAATGCCAACAAACGCGTGTTACAGCAACGCCCACAGCACAGGAATACCGAGATTGAGGCGCATTTTGAGAGGTGTTGCGTGGTTGTATCCGGATATTGGGTATGATCTTAATGCGCGAAAACTAAAATATTAATAGTAATAAAAGACGTTGTTGCTGCTTTAAGCCTTGGCATGCATTTTTTTGCAAAATACATACCAAGGCTTGAAGCAGCAACAACGCTACATATAAAAACTGATGATGGTGGAAAAATACACCGAAACGTATTTTGATTAATGAATAGAGACAATAAATCACTGTATTGTATGATTTCTTGTTGGACTACCGACTAAATTATTGTCTTTGTTAATGATGATTAGCATTAATTTTTGGGATTATTTCAAACGTATTACAGATATTGCCAAGGTTTGGGCATTATAGCCGCTTCCCTGCTGCTTTTTATTGAAGAGGAAAATGCCTTTTGGATTATGGTAACAATAGTGGAAGATTTGCTTCCCGCCTCTTATTACAGCTCTACCTTGTTAGGTAAGAAATTGATTGAAAACCACCTTCCAATATGTCTCAGATTCGTCTGTATCAAGACTAATGTTTGTTGCTTTTTGTAGGAATCCAGGCAGACCAAAAAGTTTTGAGGAACTTAATATCAAATTACCTGCCAGATACCGATGAAGTTCTAAGGAATCACGATATTGAATTGTCGTTGATTACCATGCAGTGGTTCCTGACTTTATACGCTAATGTCGTCCATACGAAGATTTTGCTCAGAATATGGGATCTTTTCTTTTTTGAAGGATCTTTAGTTTTATTTCAAATTACCCTTGCCATGTTGAAAATCCAAGAGCCCCATCTTAAGACTTTGGAGAATTCCGCTCAGATTTTTAATGCTCTGTCTGATATACCTGGTGATATTGAGGATGTCGATAAACTACTGGAGGTTTGTATTGATACCTACTTGATTCTAATTTGAAATTGCATTTAAATGATTTTAACATGTGCAACTTCGTTCCTTCAAACCCAGAAACACATTTAAAACATGGATGAGTTGAGATTGGGTTTTTGATACATTCTTTTAGTAGTATAAATGTTTCCTATACCTGACCAAACATATTTTTTGAATATGGTTAATATATTTGATACCAAATCAAAATTTTGGTAGGTATCAACTCAGCTTACAAGCTCATTGAGTGAGGTGATGATTGAAACTTATCGAAGGAGACATTTGGCTTATTTGATGGCCGATCAGGGTGCATTAGTTGGAAACCCTGAAGCGGCTCCTAACTTACCAAAACAGCATTTAGTGCGGTAAGTACGAGCTTTGACTAGAACATTTTACTTATAAACAGTATTTGCTGTTTTTAAATGATTCGGCACGAAAAGTCGAAAAATT